TTTCTTTGGACCATTAAAAACATTGAAACTAATTTGATATTGTATATGTTGATGCGTTTTTTCTATAAATTTGGACAAAGTTAGAGAAGTTTGACTTAGGACAAAGCTAAAAGAACTATAATTTGGAACGGAGGGACCATATAATGGCTGCATGACACTGTTGAAGATTGCGGACTTGCATTAATGGGAATTTTCATCAAACATTTAGAAGTTCAATAATAGAATTGGTGTTTGAGAGATCTGTTTTCATATTTGTTTTTTTAACAGACTATTTGTTTCTTCACCTGTAATAACTAATGGCTATGTGCATCTCTTGACTCAAAGCTCAAACAATCTTATTGCTTAATCTAAAATGGTAATTAGCTTGTACTCCCTCGGCCCAAATTGAAAGTCATTTTAGCTTTGTAAATGTTTGGTTCGAATCGATCCGGTTTGTAAATTATTTTGTCCTCGAGGTAGTAATTTGGAATCATTGTCTTCCCTTATGCTCTTCGTGAAGTTTGGGACTGTATGCTAGCCAAAATGCTTGAGATAGCCCATTGTTCAACCTACCTTATCTACCAAGTAAAAAATCTAGAACAAGAGTGTTATCTTAGTGGTGTCGGTGACTCACCTCAAGTTGTTCATTTAGTTTGTCTCGAACCTCAATTTGCATCTCAAGTGCTTCACCAATTTGAATAGTCCTTGCACCCGTGAAAAGAGACTATTATTTCAAAGATTCAGATTATATGAAATTACATTGTGCTAATAGAGTCCTTACTTTTTTGCTCATGATACGACATTTGTATCTTGCTCATTGTTGTCGCTTGTTCGGGAATCCTATCAAGAACGGATATGGTCGCAAAGCGGTTACAAGTTGCTAACTCTTATGTTGTTCCATTATAACTGGGTAAATATGGGAGTTACAACTTGTTCTTACCATTCTTTGATGTACTGACATTTGCTTGAGCTTGGAGGTTCTTGGTAAGCCTGTACTTCTGTAACATCCAAGAAATGATGATTACTGCAGCAGTTACAAATACCATTTTAGTAGGTGGATTTCTGATTCTAAAGTACCTGGAGATGGCTTTTCAAACTGAAGATTGCTATTATCTTCTATTTTCCGCTCATTTCTTGGCTACTAATATCTTCATTTGTTTGCTTGAACCTTGAGTGTACTTGATTGTTTTAGTTCAAGTACTTCACTAGTACATGGGGCCCCTTTTAACATATGTTCAATTTGATTTTAATGTTTGTTACCCTTGCCTCCGTAGGAAACATGCTAACCTTTATGGTTGGTTCAAAGCAAGCATTTGAAGTATCCCTAGCAGATGTTGCACAAACCCAGATGCAAAGAAAAACAGATGTTCTCTTAGAGCTTCATGTTGATGATACTACTAGAGCCAATGAGGTTTGTAGTGGACAGTAGTTGTAGTGGATCCACTCATATTTTCTGCATTGCCAATGAGGTGCTAGTCGATCTCATTTGGATATATGTACCTAATACTGTAGACTTATCATTGATGAATCATTGATTCATATTTGTAATGGCTGACCATATATGTATGTATTAGTGACTGTTTGGACTTGGTCATGAATAAATCTATTTGTATGAGAAACGTGCACAATGATGTTACTTTTGTATTAATTTGCAACCAAATGGCCTTTTATTTTTTTTAAATGCATTTAAATGATCTCGTCAAACCATCTGTCGCTGAAAACATTTGTAACTTCAAATTCTCTGTCGCTATAGAGTACTGGGAGGCAATCTGTCGCTAAAGAGTAGCAGCAGACTATCTGTCGCTAAAAAATTCAGGGCAACGTACTGTCTGACGCTAAAGATGTTTAGCGACAGGACTTACAACGTCTGTAGAAGTCTGTCGCTATAACTTTTTAGCGGCAGATTGTCTGTTGCTGTAGCCGCTTTTAGCGTCAGACCGTCCATCGCTAAACTTGGTGTTGTGGTGTAGTGTTACCATACTGGACAAACTAGTCCTGCTTGTGGTTGGGCAGGTTGGGGCTGCTCCTGCATCCTGTTGTCTGCCACAGTGCCGTCCGCTAGCTAGCACAAGCGTAGTAGTACCCAATCTGCAAGCGCGATTGGAGCAAGTTGAAAGTGTTATGCCATTTTCCTTATGTATGTTATGCAGATTATGAAGTGAGACAAATTTTTTCTATTAGATTTATTTTTTCTTATGTAACTTTCTTCTTTATAAGTTTTTTTAGAAGATGCATGAGCTATAGTACGTTGAAGACTACCTATATCTAAATTTCACATTACATATTCGTCATGCAAATACCCAATATCAATAGAGTACCTACTCAATTATATAATAAAGAAGAAGCAAAGATTCGTTGTAGAATTGGAGTCTTCAAGGACAATGTCAAAATATATGAGACAAAATTCCTACCGTTTATAGTATTATATTCAACAAATATACAAAATCATCTTAAATGCATGCCTTGAACTGGAAGAATATACTTGATTTTGTTTATCGATATGTTATGCTAAATATTAAATTGGTCCTAGAACACTAAGCAAAATAAATTTACCTGTCAATGTCTTTTGGATTCTGCAGGCTATAGTAAAAATTTTCAAGCTTATGCAAACTTTTTTTACTTTACATTTCTAGAAGACTTCTACAGAATAATCTAACTCATTAACCTTTGCATCCTTCACACCGAAATTTCACCTCTAAATACCACGTCAACGTGCAGGGAATGCATCTAGTTTCAGTAAGAGGAGTGACCCTCCCAATTTCCCAACATTCCCCCAATTTGCTGAAATGTATTTTACCTTCTTTTTTCTGCAATAGTCCAGGTGGATTACCTACCAAATTACTGAATTTATGCAGCCGTATCAAACTACAAGTAGTGACTAGAGACTAATTGATATTTTCCACAATTGAAATTAGACAGCTAAATCATTTTTCAGTTAACCATTCTAAAATATTGAGATGATGATGCTATTTCAGTCTATGAGCGTCCTCTAAACTACCTTGGTCTATATATTTGCACCCAAAATGTTTTCTCAAATATTGTTGATTGCTGCTATATAACTCTATTGAAATAAAAATAGATATGTCATTATATGTTTTAAATGGAAGACTTATGTTACTTTCATATTTATGAGAACCACAGTAGTATCTTCGGAGCAACTACTCAGTTCTGCTAAGCTAATTCATAACCCTGTTCCTCATTGTCAAGTTTGCACAATTTTTTAGTACCTCTCTTTGCTAGAAAGGCCAATAATTTTGTGATTCATGATTGATCAGTGATCACAACATAAGCCACCATAAAAGTACCAACAATAGAAAAGGCACATCTATTTGGCAGCATAACAAATTTCTGCCATAGCATATCGACAACATCAGCATCGTTGGTATGTTTAAATCCTGTACTGGCCCTACGTCTTTCTAGTACTCCACCGAATGCACCAACTGCCCTGGCTGATCTGATCAGAGGGATAGATAGGCTAGTAGAGTACAAGTACAACCACGTCATGTACAAAAGAAAGTCTCCGTATAGCTGTACGCACAATGGTTCTCTTGTGCTAGTTAGCGGATGACGGCACTGTGGCAGACAGCAGGATGCAGGAGCAGCCCCAATCTGCCCAACCACAAGCAGGACTAGTCTGCTCGCTGTTAGCGTCATGCGTCAAATCATGTCTTGCGCCTTGCCGCGCCATGTGCGCGCGGCGTCCTTTGTCGCGGCTTAGATCCATGGCCGCGGCAGCCCCGCCATGTCGGTAGCATACCGGTCGCTGCCACGTCGCTGTTCCTACCATGCCCCCATGCATGACGCGGCAACGTGATTTCGCCGTGCCATGTGAATAGGCGCGGCCAAAAATATTAGTTTTAAAGAAAGAAAATTAAACAGTGTTATATTTAAAAATAGTTTTAAAAAAGTGTTAAAAAATCGATGACGGAGGATCCGATGATGCTTCGAAACGCTCGGCGAGCCGGGCGTCGATGCCATCGACGACGCTGACCCACGACAGCAATGGGATGCAATCGCTAATGCAGAAGTAGAAGGAGGCCAGCATGAGCACGCTCTCCTCTACCTGTGTGTCCAGTCCAGCCCGCATCCCGACCATGATCCACCCGATGACATCCTTGTGAATTCGACGAGGAGCTTGCTAACGTGCACAATGCTAGCGCCAGCGCTGTCGTGGCAGTGCGGCTCCACTCTTTGGAGGAGCCACTCCACCTCCTGCTCCCGATCCTCGTCGGTATGGACTTATGATGGCGTAGCTCTGCGGTCGGCGGCCACACGCACGAAGGTCGAAAGTTTGTGGAGGGCTATGAACCGATGACGAAGCCATCTGGTCGCTGGATGTGGCAATATATAGTCTTGATGCATGTCATGACTGCCCAGTTGAAACGACAGAGGAACTGATGGGTGGCATGGAGGAGCGAAGAGACACGGCACAATACTTGATGACGGCGGTGGAATACATGATGATGGAGAAGCCAAGGGGACAAATAACTTTTTACCATTATAACGGACGGCCACTCTCCAGTTCTCACCTTAGTGAATTCCCATATTCTTTCACCAGCGTTGTTCGCTCCGAGATACACTTTTATCACTTTTGCACAGCACAGCTTGCCACGTCGGCCCCGAGCGCGCGAAGGGTGCAAAATGACCTCGCCTGCCCCTGCCCCCCTCGTCTTAGCTATCTGGGTCGGTCTCAGTTGACCCAGCCGGCCCATTTGCCCTATCCCCTTCATCTCCCCCGCGCTGACAATGAATGGAGCATAGGTAGCAAATGCACAGATCACAAACTCATCAAGTGATAGAAACAAACCTAACAGTTAAGCATTGCATTACATGACAGGTTTTGTTCTGGCCACTTCACAGCAGTTCCCCATCCATACACAAGGATGTACTGTGGCCACATCCATGACAGGTTTTACATAACAGTTTGCAAAAGAAAAGACCATACAAGCTTGTTTCCCAAAATAAACAGGTTCAGGACAGCATGGGCCAAAATAAGAGACATTTTCAATTCAAGTTTTGTCTCATTTCATCTTCCCCTTGGTTCCTGCAGTCTTCTTTGCTAGAGACTTCTTTGCTGGAGTGTTTTTTGTTGGAGTCTTCTTGATCTTGGTAGCTAGTTGCTTCCTCCTAGGTGTCATCTTTCTTTTGCCAGTTGCTTCATCTCCTAGCGGGTTCACAACGTTCACAACTACCAATTCCAGGCAATTGTTCCTGTGTGCATATAAACCATTTAGTGTTGCTTCTTCAATATTTTGCAAAATGTACAGTGAAGAATGAAATTGTACCTTGTAGGTGTGTGGGGGCTTCCAAGTGCTTGGTATACAGTCTCTAGGGGTGTAGGTGTGTTGGGGCTTCTAGGTGCTTGGTATACAGTCTCCAGGGGTGCTTCTTTGGCTGCTGCTGCTTCAGCTGCTGCAGATGCTACTGCTGCCTTATCTGCAGCTAGCTGAGCTGCTTTGGCTGCTCTGTCAGCTGCTTCTCTGGCTGCTGCCAGTCTTGTCCTTGGTGAACACTGAACACTTGAGCCCTCATCTGCTTGGTCCTTCTTTGCCTTCTTTGGCCTTTCAAGTTTTGTTGCTGTCTTCTTTGTCCTCTTTCTGGCATGAAACAAAACAGATCAGGATACACTATATAAGTATTGGTGAGAATGGTAAACAAAATAAGTTTAGAATTAACCTTTTCCTTGTTCCTGTCAGTGAGCATCTCCAGCTGCCACATATTCTTGGCATACACCTCTCCAGTATAATACTTCTTTAAATTCTCCATCAAATGCCTGAAACACTCCCTCTTCTCACAATCAGGCCAGACCTGAGCCACTGTTGCCTCAAGACCCTTACAAGCATCAGTACACACTGCTAAATTTTCCATAGGGCCAATTGCTTTGCTAAGCTGCTGCATAAACCAGATCCAGTTGTCTTTGGTTTCTGACCCAAAAAATCCAAAGGCCAATGGAAACATCCAGTTGTGGCCATCCAATGCTTGAGCAGCGGGCAGCTGGCCATTCTAGAGCCCATTTAAGTGGGTTGAATCTATACTAATATAAGGCCTACATCCATTTCTAAAACCATCTATGGTAGCCTTGAAACAACAGAAAAATCTAGTAAAATGAACCTTGCCATCAATTTCCTCACTATCAACCTCAACGATACTACCAGGTGATCTCAATTCCACCTCTGCCTTAAACCTATACAACCAATCAAAGGAATCAGCAAGCTTACCAAAAAGCTTGTCAGCTGCTCTCTTTCTTCCATACACAACAGTCTGGTAGTTGATATCCATGTTGTACTTTTCATCTAGCTCTGCCTTCAGTGCCTTTGGGCCCATGGCTGGCATCCTCATCAAATATGGTAATGCCATTTCTGCCACCCAACCTTGTGATGCCATAGCACCCCCAGGCACCTTGTTCCTAGAGGCACATGTATGCACACCTTCATTTATTTGCACCTGCAAAGAAGCAAACCATTTGAGTATTTGAGTCAGCATTACCTGAAAAGACATACAAAAATTGCAAAAATATTGTATGAGCAATGAAATGCAAAGTACCCTGACACTCCCACCATGCTGGGTTCTAGCTCTAATGATCCAAGGACATCCTAGAAAAGCACAATGTCCCCTAAACCTTTCAGTATCTGAATGAGCAGTAGCAAGTTCAAAATCTTTGACTATTGCATGTTGTCTTACAGCTAGCCTAAAATCATTCATGGATGGAAAATAAACCCCAACAGACAAATCTGGATTTTGTCTGTCCCAGTCAAACATTGGCTCTTGATCATCATGGTCATCAACTAGAACTGCTGCCTCTTCCATATCAGCCTGCATCTCAGCTGTCATGGTAGGAATAGGAATAGCTTCCCTAGCTGCATCCTCATCTCTCTCATCTGCTGCTGCGAAACCCATAGCCTCATAAACTTTATCCTCATGAGCAGCTTGCTTGGCGTCTCCATCCTCATTATCTTCTTGTAAAATGGTCAACTCAGCCCAATCTACTAGTTGTGCTTGTTCAGGTGGCATAGAAGGAGGAGGACTGCTACAAGTGTCACCAGTGCCTTCAACATTATCATGTACAGCACTACCTTGTGTTTTATTAGGAGCAGCACTGCCTTGATCATTACCAGTAGCACCATGACCAGCAGCATTACTAGGACCACCACTACCAGCAGAAGTTACACCAGAGACAAACCTAAAATCAGAGCAAGCATTGACAGATTGATCATCTTTATTGACAACATCCACTACAAGCACAGCTTCCTTTTCATTCCATCTAGCCAGTATAAGCTGCTGAAAATGTTCATCCCTCCTTATTTTCCATTGAGATGGGCTGTCAAGCTCAACCACCCAAACTGCCAATGTCTGTGAAGGTCCCCAGATTATCTTCCCACCCATTTCGTCATGAAACTTAGCTAGAGAATAATGCGAGTCCTATCAAGCCAGATTTGGTGTTCCTGCTCAGCCATTGCCACTAGCCCGTACTCATCCTCAGCAATCCACTTAGAAACCTTTACAACTAATCTAAACGCATTACCAGGATCAATCCTGGCACAAACACGGATGCAATGTTAGGGACAACCTACTACACAGCATCCGCAGTCCCGTCCCATGAAAGTGAAGAGAAAACGAATAGGAAAATTAGGGTTCTTATCAAACAGGGCAACCACTAGTCGAATGCCAGTCCATTGCGTCTACCTTCAACACCGACTACATGTACTGTCCAAGAAAGAAAAGCAAGTCCATCATCATTCTCAAAAACCCTAAACCTAACCTGGAATCGTAAATGTGCAAACCCAAAACGGGGAATGAGAGTGTTGGTCCGGACGGGACATACCTTTTTCCCCCTTTTCTCAGCTGACAACTTCAGCAGGATGGAATATGGAATGCGGCGGCGGAGGGCGGCGACGGCGAGGTCCAGAGCAGAGCGCGGGGGAGATGAAGGGGACAGGGCAAATGGGCCGGGTGGGTCAACTGAGACCCGCCGGATAGCTAAGACGAGGGGGGCAGGGGCAAGCGAGGTCATTTTGCACCCTTCGCGCGCTCGGGGCCGACGTGGCAAGCTGTGCTGGAGCGCCACGAGTGCAAAAGTGGTAAAAGTGTATCTCGGAGCGAACAATCGCTGGTGAAAGAATATGAGAATTCGCCAAGGTGAGAACTGGAGAGTGGCCGTCCGTTATAATGGTAAAAAGTTATTTGTCCCGAAGCCAAGAGACAGGTGACTTGAAATCTACTAATGGAGATTTTGGTGGGCTCGTGAGATGACGTGGCTTCACGAAATCGCAGAAAAATAGTGGGTCTATTCTATTTAGATATATAGTAGATTCTATTTATTAATGCAGGAGTCAAGAGGTTCAGACACAAGATGCAGCAAAACCCCACCATCCGTGACTTAACTTAGCCCTCATTTAGTTGCCCGGAATAGGCAGTGGCAAAATCACTTTAGCGCACTGTAGCGCACTGCAGCATTTCGTTTTCATTTGGTAATAATTGTTCAATTGTTGACTAATTAAGCTCAAAACGTTCGTCTCCCAAAGTACAACCAAATTGTACAATTAGTTTTTGATTTCATCAACATTTAATACTCCATGCATATACCGCAAGTTTGATGTGATGGGAAATCTTCTTTTTACATAGTGACAAAGTTTGGATTTTAGATAACTAAACACACCCTTGATTGATTGGAACTTGCCCGCGTAGATCACTTCCTCTTCACAATCGATTAAAATAATGGCAAGCATGTGGCCGCAGCTGCATAAACCTAGCATCACCATCAACACTAATCCCCAGAATCCTACCGGATTAGGCGGCATTAACCCTCCATCGCGACTAAAAAACGGAAATCTTTCTCTCGACGACCGGCGCCCGCGCGCGGACGCAAGGACCAGCGAGCCCCACTGCTCCGGCGGGGCGAATGCGTGACCCGCGACCATTAACTTAGGCCAGCCTCGCGCGAGCGATCCAAGAAAGGGGAAGGGAGCAAGGGGGCGGGGGCAACTAACCGGATCAGGGAGGTGCGCCTGAGCACGGTGATCGGGGAGGACGGAGGGAGGCTGGCGACGAGTCGCCCGGCGTCGGGGGCAGTGGTTGCGATCGGTGGGCCCCACCTGGAAGAGAGACAGAGTGAGCGAGAGCGAGAGCGAGCGAGGAACAGCAAGAAACGGGGAAAAATGATGTTTGATGTCTCTATATAAACGCCATAGTGTGTGTTTTGGATTATTCTAATTCTCTGTTTTGTAAGTGAAAATTTTTATCCATTGAAATAATAGAAAGCTAATAAATGATTTTGCATTGTAAACCCTAAACTATTTTCAAATCCATTCAAGCTTTTTGTATGTAGTTATTTATCAACTGGAAGCATATTCTGTATCTATTTACTCCCCACATCCATCTCTTTATCCACGCTCCGTGTCGTTGTCTTCCTCATCAGACCATCATCCCTGCATCACGTGGCGTCATCTTCACGTTGGCACCGTCTCCCCCAGCATTGTGGAACGGTGAGCAACACGCACACGAGTCATGGCGAAGACGATATCTTTTTTGGTGTGTGTAGAGATATGCCAATTGTGGAAATCACATATAGGGGTTGTCTGGTTTCTCTGCCAAGCATCGCCTCCTAGCAGGCATGAATTGACACTGTTACGTCCATGTACTATCGATATCTGAGTAGTTCTGGCGGCAGCGACCACATCCGTGTCTGGGCTGGCAACGGGGTGGACAGGGGCGGGGCGATGTAGTAACTCGTCTCGGAGTTTTGACGAGCGCACGCGCAAATTGGATGAAAGCACTGTATATTTTTTTAGGTGTAACATAAGAACAACAGATCATGGTTATGAAACTACGCATGATTGACATACTGCGAAATCGGCATACGGCAGTAGTTCTTGATGTGCCGATTCGGTGTTTCTCTTTGAATGTGAATTGCAACATTATACCTTGTATGTTAAACCGAATGCAAAGTTTTACATGTACGGAATTGATGTGTCTATTTTGTTTGTGAAAATACGCAAGATCATTTGGACTACCAAAAATCAAGTTGCAAATTATTTACAAGATGCCATGCTGTCCGATGACCTATGTTGATGCCATTAGTTGAGAATATACTCGTGTAGTTTGCCTCCTTGTCTATTTTTACTGTTTTGCCATTGTAGTTGTGGAAATTTAGCTAAAATTTGGTTTATCCTGATTTATTGTGAGAGAAAAATACTATTTATTCGCTGAAAAGCACCGCCGAAGTAGTTCAAGCGAACAGAGCCATAGCACATTTATTTTGACGTGGTCAGACACATACTTGTACCAACCGAGAAGTAAAACAGGCACATGTTTTTCCAGACTTGTGCCAAACATGGGTGCTTTGAAGCTTTTTGTCATCGAAAACAAAGGAACGTTCTCGTACACCATGTTACACCAGGGACACCATAGATCAAGGAATCACAGCACTTTTACAAAGCTCAGATGAGTTACATAGTTACGATGGCAATCACGCATTCACACGAGGCTTGTGGTCTGTTCATAATGTTTTATGCTATGTTGTTCTTTGAATTTCTCATTTCTGGGAAAATGGAAGGGGAAGTTTTGTACAACTTGAAATGTTCAAAACCCTCCTGGTATCTCCTTAAAAATAACATGGAATCACAACTGCTTCTTAGCCAGCTTTCTGTTCTGCTCTAGGTAAGGGTAAGCTCTCTGATACTGTAATATAGCCCAAACAAGGTGCCTGAAAGAGAACTCGGGCCACAGAGGATCTGGATTCTGCAAGTGACTAAACGTTGTTTGCCACAAGAGGAAATTGCTCAGTCGAGTCTCGCCTGAAGTTCGGACGACGATATCAGGATCTGGGCAGCCAGCGCTATACATGTGGCGATCCAAATCCGCCACTGAAATCTCTGAATGCACACCGTTATTTGCAGCGTGGCCATTACAGTCGCCAGCATGTTCACTCTGCAACAGTTCCTTCTTTTCTGCACAGACTTCACTGACAGCATTGACAATCTCAGAAGTCGAGTTGTATGGCATGCAGACAGAAAAGACCAGCCCTGTGTTTCCAGCTGTGCTCGCCATCAGCTTCTGAGCCGCCAACCTCACCGGCTCACATAACAAGTCCAAGTTGCCCCAAAAGTTGATCTTACAGTTAATCTTGTTGATTACACTTTGGTTCTCTAATAGTTCATTGATTTTTTCCTCCATTAACTGCATCAAGGTTTCCACCTCACTTGGGTCCCTTTTAAAATTGTCAATGCTGAATGCATAAACAGTGATGTACTTCACACCCATTTCATAGCAGTACAGCAGACTTGCAATAAGAGCAGAGAAACCCATCCTGTGACCAGCTCCTTGTTGCATGCTTCTGAATTTAGCATATCGACGATTACCATCCATAATAAATGCAATGTGCTTCGGCATTGGGCCATATGAGAGGATAGCTATGAGGCACTTGCGTAGGAAATTCTGAAGGCTTGAAAGAACACCATTTCTAACCATCTCATCAGGCTTCTCTGCTTTCAGATCCTAGACCAAAAGCAAATAAATAACAACTGAGCAGAATCTTACATGTTGTAAGAATATTTGTCCATGTCAGCATAGCAAAAAGGTTATAGCTCTTTGAGGATTTTTACAAGCCTAATAACTGATATCTAAATGCTTTATCAAGAGATTAATCAACATATGCCGCTGCAAATATGAAACTCACCACAGAAGGTGAGGGAGAGATAAGTGACCCCGCCATGATGAGGGACTATGCAACCAATTACCAAAGCTGCAAACAGGAAAACGCCTGAGTAAAAAAAAAGGTGAATGATCTCCATCAGGACAAAGTACACTTAAAAAGAACTAAAACCAAGCGACATTTGACATTAGAAAAAACATGGTGTAAGGGTTTTACAAGCAGGCTGCACAGTGCAGTAATGAGCTCAGGCCGCATCATCTTGGGCAATGAATGGTGAGATCCACTGATTACTAGGTAATTGGAGCGCATGGTTTCCCCAAGTGCAAATGATGAAAGCCACTGCTGGGCTTTCAGATCTACCGGCAACTAGACTGCATATCCAAGGGTCAGATTTGAGCATTTGCAAGCGTCAATTTGGATACATGATGGGAGAAAAAGGCGAAAAGGACAGAACTTCAGTAAAGGTCAGTGCTTACGCTTGCTGATGCAAAAGTGCCTTAGGAACAGTAGCTTTCTCTTTTATTTAAGCTCATGTGGGTTGGTCTCAAATTCCTAGTGCTCTTGTAGGTGTCAATTTCCTAGTGCTCTTGTAGGACAAGCTCGCATGGACGGTGCCCACAGCAACTGCAAATCCTAGCTACGAGCTTCTAAACAGGAACCAACATGCCATTAAGCAACTACCGAGGATTTTGTTCCCCACCTGAATTCTAATGACCAGCAAGGCACTAAACAGTGCCGGCCGCTCAAACGTGTTACAGAGGTCACAGATGCATGGGTTTAAGGGGGAAAAGAAAATTACAAAAAATTGATTACATACTGGAAACCAGAGCTAAACACCAAGCAAAAATTAAGAAAGGGCCCTGCCTACCACCCAGAGTCTTTCCCCCATCTCCCATGCGCTCAATCAAGAACGAGCACACGTAGACATTTCATCGAGCACCTGACGAGCGAGGATGGCGAGCAGCCATGTAGAGAGTCAACTGACCTGCAGATTGGGGACTCGAAAGTCCGAACTCTGAAGCGAAGCCAGCGACGAACTGAGAGGGAGCGAGCGAGAACGAACGGTGGTGTGGTGGAGGAGGAGCGAGCAGGTGGTACTAGTAGGCGAGGGTCAGGGGGAAAGTGGTACCGGTCCCATCATCTCGCTCTCGACGGACGCGCGGACAGGGGAGACAGACGGAGGCCGGCAACGCGCCACGAGGTGCGCTCGTGAAGAATCTTTTTTGTTGTTTTTCTCGTGCCCTGTGGTGGCCGGTGGAATCGCCAGTTCGCCACCGCCACGACTCCTCCGTTTGACCGTGACGCGAACTGAAAACACGGATGGAAACGGCCGCCGGGTCACCGGCGTGGGCGTGGCCGCGGGCGCGGGCGGGCCTGCTTTTCAGCCAGTGGGCATGGCGGAACGCGCAGCCAAATTGTAGAAAAGAACACGTCCATAGACGAGGAGAATTTCTGGAGCGTGCAGCCAGATTGTAGAAAAGAAAGTCCATGGACGCGGAGATTTTCTGCTCTTGATGGAGACACTTGGCGAAATCGATGCTTCGGAAATCAAAATCATACGGAATCTTGAAAATAAAACGTGCTGATTCAGACCTCTGTGTACTGTGGTACGACTGCTGCACCAGCCGCACGTTTCGACTTTCGACGCCCGCGCCTGCGGCGCTCGCGCGCCAGTGCGCCACGCGGCCGCCCACCGCTAGGGTCACCGTCTCGCTGATTTCGCTCGGCGCACGCGGACCGGGAAGTCGTCGGGAAGCTCGCTAGTATACACGTACGTACAGTACAGTGTTTTGGATGAGCTGTAACTGGGCCGTAGTATTCGGCCGTCGGCCCACAAAGAAAATAGATGCTCGCTGCTCGGGGGGCTGGACCTCTACTACTTTGGCCACCACAGCCACAACAGTCAGCGCGAGTGCTCGGGGGGCTGGCCTAGCCGGTGCAATTGGGGTTGTTTGTTTGCCCTGGACCGGTGCTGGCTCCTTGTTTGTTTGTCTGGATAAGGTGTCAGTTTTCCCCAACTAACATCAACTACCAAAAGGAGATAAGGAACCGAAAGGGGATATCACCTTGCTACGAGCGAAAAGGAACACCAGGAGGAGCATACAATGCGGAAATGTCGAGGCAAACAAGCACCACCGCACCGGACCGGGGGAAGACGAAGCAGATCCGGAGTAGAGGAAGAAGAAGAGGCACGCGGAACTCCGGCCACCACCAGCACCCCGTGAAGGAGACGAAGCGGTCGGCGAGATGGAGATGTACCAACCACACCACCAACGCCGCCTCCTCCACAACGACGGCAGCGGGAGAACTCCCCAACCACATGGGCCGGGAGCGTCTGCTACCACGCCGTCAACACCGGGCCAAGCAAGAGCGGGAAGAGAGCGAGGGAGCGAAAGCGAGAAGCGGCGGAGAAGATGGGGGCAGGGGGATAAATGGGAGGGTGGAAACCCTAGCAGCGCCACGCGTGGACATTTTCGCCTCCCACGCGAGCCCGTCGGCGCCACCCGTCTCGGGCCAAAATGAGACAGACGAGCACCCGCTCCAGCCGGCCTGGCTTGCGAGCTGGCCCAGGCAAATGAAGAGCCCGGGTTGCACCCCCTGGGCTCGATGGCTCTGCCGGGCCACGCAAACAAACATGCGCTGAGAATATCCATAATATGGGAGAATATGGAGTTGCCTTGTGCTGGCTATCTATATAGCTAGGCCAGGTCTAAATAAATAGCTAGACTTAAATGAAAACCTGGAAGTCAAACGTACTCATTTTTTCGCCATGTCGACTACGCTGCTCTTTCCTTCGTGCATACTCACCACTCCATCGGGTCCAATGTTCAACAAACCCTGAGGTCGATCGCACACAAACATAAAACAAAGCTCGATAGCTCTAGTGTATGAACCAGTTCAATGTTCAACAAACCCTAAGGCTGATCGTACGCAAACACAAAACAAAGCTCGATAGCTCTAGCGTATGCATCAAGTCATGGGTCTCACCTACAGTAAAAATGGCGTGGAGTGCAACGGCATGTGTAGGATAGATTATTTTATACCACTCTATGCGACTAGTCTATAGAAGCCAATTTCGATTTTGATATAACCACAGTTTGGATGTGGCGATGCTAAGGTCCGATTTTATATCACACTGAAGCTGCTCTTAACCGTTCTCCGTCCAGTACATAGCATGCCCTAAAAGAACTTGGTGTATGTGCAGAAGACATAACTCCTTAACATTCGATTCAATTTACTCCATCCAACTATTTTAGTTAGTCCAAGTCACACCTTAAAAATTCTTTTTTGTTTCTTTATACTACAGTCGTGCACCGTCAGCCCGTAGAGAGGGATAGAGAGGAGCGGCCCACGCCGCATCACCAGCTGGCTACCACGGCCCACGGGATTGCACGCGCTGCAGCCGGCAGGTCGATTTCGCCTCGAGAACGGCCCAAACGCTCAATCCCTGACGGCGTAACAGCATCCTCTTGAACGAAGAAAACAAGTTCGCAAGTGTCAGTGTCATTGTCCTCTGAAAGCAACAGGAAACCATAGGAGCGGAGCGCACACTTGGGAGGCGGCCCAGGAACGGGCGTTCGTCCGGACATGGCAGGGCGACACGTCGCGTCCTTGCCATTAAACTGTGAGCACTGGAGTCGTCCCACGGCACCCACCACCCAAAATGACGGAGCACTGGCGCTATTCTTGAATCCTCCTCTCGGAGCCAGGCCAGCGACTTCTTCCGTCGGACCGTGCGTAAGTAGCAGTGTGATCCGGACCGGACGGGTAAACCTACCCGCGAGCAGAGCAGGCAACGAGACACCTCACATTATGAGCTGTCCTGTCCTTGCCGAGAGTCACCCGGCCGCCCTGCTGCACTGAAACAGTAGTGTGGTACGGTAGTGCTTCCTCGCAGCGATGCTCTCTCGCCAAGTCGCCATGACCATCTATCTGTCCAGGATGGATAGTAGTAGTAGTGATCACCACACCAGCTGCTAAAGTAGTACCCCTCCGTTTAGAAAAAAAAAAAATCATTACTTTGAATCTGGACATGACGTGGACGGAGGGAGTAGCCATTAATGGCAGCACATAACAACGACGCTATCACACTGTGGACTTGTTTAGATTAGGATTAGAAATACTGTAGCATTTTCGTTTGTATTTGATAATTATTGTCCAATCATGGACCTAACTAGGTTCAAAAGATTCGTCTCGTAATTTATAATCAAACTGTATAATTAGTTTTTTTTTATCTATATTTAATACTCCATGTATGTGTCAAAAATTTAATACGATGGAAAGAAAGTGAAAAAACTTACCATCTAAACAAAACAAGGCCTATGCTTCTTCGCTCGCAGCGTCTTCGATCGGCTTCAGCTCGTACGTCTAGAGCTAATACTTCCATTGTTTTCTTTTTTCCTTGGACAGCAACGAGTCTCGCTGTCCTGGCGACGTGTGTACGGCGTTCGGTGTACCTGTGACAGTGTGCGATGCGTGACTGAAACGACGTGACAGCCGGCCGGACAACGGGACAACTATCGCTCTTGCCACCGAGCAAGGGGACATCACAGTTGACATTGGCGGTGTGCTGCAAGCAAGCGTGGCGGCGAGCGCTCCAGCAAATGGCTGCAAACAAACAAGCGCGCGGTCTAACCCCGGCGGCAGGCCGGCCGGCAGCCGGTCGGTCGGGTGACTGCCTCGGCCGCGCTTGGCGTCGGGGCCCCGTCTCCACCCGCTGCGCGCCTTTGCTTAATTTCCGTCATTCCGTGGCACGAACACGATGCGCCGTCGATGCTGCAGTGCACGGGCGCGCGGCAGCTGCACAAGGCACAACGAGAAGGGGGAGAGGGCGAGGGCGACGACGCGAGCAGACGGATACGGGACCTCGGCTCGGCGGGACGACACGGTGGTGGGCGTGCAGGCGGGGGGCTCCACCGCTCCAGGTGCCCAACACGGCAGCACCGCAAGCAAAGCCGAATCGATGGGGTGACGCCGCCACAGTCGTCAACGCACCGGCAGGCCGGGCCCGGCCGGGCGCCCGGCAACCACCAGCAAACAATATTAATAACGTGGGGACG